GCGGCGCCGCGGCGGGTACGCCATCCTCCACGGACGAACGATAACGGCAGTGTCGCAGCGCCATTGAACGGACTCGGCGACGGACGGAAAGTTTCCGCCCCTCCGCGACGCATGGAACTGACGGACGAGCCTAACCCAAGCTCCTCCGTCAACCACAGTCATGACCTAGGTTAGGTCATGTGGCTGTGGGGTCTTGACCCTATCGACCAGTCAGGATTTTCACGTCACGGCACCTTTTCTGGCACGGCACCGAGGCCGGCACGACGCAAGCTCCTGAACGCTATCGGGTTATTCGCGTAACGCCGGTTTTTACGGCTCGCCACCGAGACCAGAACAGCTTTTCTGGCGAGCCATGAGCACCTTAAAGGGACACTGACACCCCCCCAAATATTTTTAAAACTTTTTTGTCAGGCGATTTATTATGGTGTCGGAATACTACCTAATTGATATTTTGCTGCGGAGTCACGTATTTTTTTAATAAAGCCAAAAAACGCAACTGGTCGAAACAGAAACCGAAACTCTCGCACTGCACGGGGAAGTGGAGAGGATAGAGTGACTGGCGGAAGTCACTTGACTACACCCAACTATGCGGGTTTTTTTTTTTTTTTTTTTTTTTTTCGCACGTAGCAGACGAAATGCGTTCGTTCGCCGTGCGGTTCCTTTGCAGTTATGTTTGTTCCGCTCGCTGTTCTGTACTTCAAGATGAGTTCTTTTGTACATTTAGGTGTTGGCAATTAGTAGTGAGTGCCCGTCGTGAACTTTCGTGATCGGTTCGGAAAACAATACTCCTGGGGTCAACATACCGAGAGGCATTCTTTGCTGACACACTTGTTATTTACATAATTTACAGATATATATTTACAAACGGGCCAGTCAGAGATAATGTCTATGTCGGATGAGACGAGCCTGGGTTCCAGCCGGCGTATTCCATCGGAGCTCTGTGTCGCTTGTGTGCCGCTCATGGTGCGAGGCTCCTGCCACGTTCGCAGTGCGTGCGTTCGTGCACGTTGCTCTACGGTGTAGATGGTGTCGCCCGCTTGTTTGCCAAGATGTTGCGTGAAGAGCTGCCTCACATGTCCTGCATCTGAAAGTGGCTTTGTGTGACAGAGTGCACACGTTTTCGAAAGATCAACGGGTCGGGATCAATGGCTGGCTGCAATTCCTGTAGAACAGTTACGCGAAGCTTGGAAAGCGGACGCTACCCGATTGATATGCTCCCTGCTTTTTGCGGAAAATGAGTACATTGAGTTCGCAGGTGTCAAAAATGAAATCCTATACCCTTTCGTTCAGTGACGTATCGTGCACAACAATTGTTTCTTTCAGTGATAATTGTTAAAAAAGAAATGTAAACATCGCAAAATGCTTGGCAAAAAAAAAAAAGAAAAAAACGGTACACCACACCAGGGAACAAACCCGTGCCCGCGGCGTGTCAAGCAGGCGTCTTACCACTGAGCTACTGGGAGCTCTTTTTTTTTTTCTTTATTGCAAAGGTGAGTATCACAAGTCACATAACATTAAAAATGCACTGGAAGACTTTTACAGGTCATATTAAAAAGCGCGCATTTCACGAAGCGCTTTACAGATGCCGAGCCACTCTGGCTTGAACTCGCGGGTGGCAAAAACACTTTCCACCTGCTCAATTAGGCTGAAGAAATAAAAGCGCACTTCTTTCGCATTGACGTCGGCATGCCTCACTGCCATGCGCGATCGCCATATGCTACAGAGTCCCAACAGAAAAAAACATATCGTATGGGACACAGCCGTCGTTAGTCACGTTCAAGAAACGGATGCCTGAAGGGGAAATGCTCAATTGCTTTTTCAAAGTGCGCTGAAGCACGTCCAAAAAAAAAAAAAAAAAAAACTGCGTCCCAGCAAACAATTAACACATGTTCGATGGTTTCTGGTTGTTTGCATAAAAGACAGTCAGTCGACCATGGCACATCTAGGCCTCTTTCTTTAAGCCACGCTTTCACGGGCAAAGTATTGGTGTGCAGTTTGAAAAAGAATGTCTTTACAGAGGGTGGAATACACATACGCCCTTAACGCGTTTCCACACATCTTCACCGCCTTGACAAACGACACTCCGATACAGCGGCGTTGGGAAAATACTTATCAACAAATCGCGAGCAAGCCTCTTTCTGTTTACTTCAGACAGGTACTCAAAAAAAAAACGGGCAGACAAAAAGTGCAGCGATTCCACAACCTACTTCTGAAAGCCAACAAGTGTTGCTGGTTCACCGCCATAAGACGATACAAGAAAAGACGGCAAATGAGGTGACAGTTTCGTCTGAATGAACGCGCGTATGAAAGGGTGCTCTTGATCGCGCAGAAACATAAAGCGTGACACCAGCTGCCTCACAAACAATTGCGATAGCCCCAATCCTCCGTCGCATACTCAATGAAAAAGATTATCTCGCCTCATCGGCTCGACATTTGATCTCCAGATAAAAGTGGCAAAAACACGGTGAAACTTCTGTACATTCATGCGGGCACAGTGTATCGCTTGCAAAACATACCAGAGCTTCGATACAAGAAAGACATTACAAACCCTCGCTCTGGCAAAAATAGACAGGTCACGCCTCTTCCAGCGAGAAGCGCGCCTGTCCAGGTCGGTTGCGACACCCGACCAATGGGCTTTGTTGACTCGATAACAGTCGAGTGGCACGCCGAGGTACGTGCAAGGCACACAGTCCCAGCACACGCCCTCAAACATTGAAGGCGTTGTGGCCCACGCGCCATGCCAAAACCCGCGGCACTTGCTCCAATTTATAGCAGCACCAGTAGCTTCACAAAATGTTTTCGCTAAAGAAATCGCAGCACTGATGCTTCGCTTGTCGGTACAAAAAACTGCAATATCATCCGCATAGCTATTAATTTTGACCTCTTCATTTTCCAAACGGAAGCCCCGACATTCTTTGCTATTCAGGATGCTTAAACAAAAAAAGTTTCAAATACATGTTGAAAAATAACGGCGACATTGGACAACCCTGCCTTACGGACGTCCGAACATGGATAGGTTCTGTCAATTCTTTGTTGACGATGAGATTTGTGATACATCCCTGATAGGCCCCCATTTTGGCTCCTTCCAAAATGACATCACCCACGTTGACACGTTTTAAAACATCAAAAAGAACATCGTGCTTAACACGGTCGAAAGCTTTGTCTGGGTCTAATTGTAGCATGGCAACCTGGCCCATGCCACCGTCGCAGGCTTCCAGAACACTACGGGCTACATGTACATTAGTTGTAACTGACCTGCCTCTAATACCGCCTGTTTGATGGCCTCCAATAAGCTGGCAGGCTACTCTCTGAAACCGCCGCGATAGAATTTTTGCAAAAATTTTGTAGTCAACGTTACATAAAGTAATTGGACAAAACCAGCATCGTCGCTCTTAGGAATGAGGACCGTGTATGTTCTCAGGAAAGACTGCGGAAGCGCTTTCCGTTCATACGCAGTTAAAAAAACGTCCAGTAACATCCCGGACACTGCGCTCTTATATTTCTTATAGACCTCGGCGTTTAACCCATCGGGTCCCGGCGTTTTGGAATTTGGCAAATCGTCTATTGCTTTTTGAACCTCTTCCAAAGTGATTACCTGCGAAAGACTGTCCCGTTCCTCCTCCGCCAGCTCTGGTAGGTAGTCAAGAAGGTTCCCGCACTCTGGGTCCTTCCTCCCTGAACTTGCGACTCGAAAAGCTTTCTATAATGCGCAACAAACGCTTGCTTAATGGTACTCGGGTCTGTGCTGCTGACGCCATTTTGTTCAATTTCGCCTATTTCGCCGCGCAGCGCGTATCATTTCTCGTCTGCTAACGCTCTCTTGGTCGGCTGCTCTCCCAGCAGGTACCTCTCTGAACGAGCACGAGCAATGGCTCCACGGTAACGCTCAAGATGCAGCCGGTCAAGTCGGTCCTTTACACTTTCTGAGTCCTCGAGACCCACTCCGGGTATTTGACACTCCGCTCTCAACAGCGCCTGAAAATGGGCGTTTAAAGTGCGTTCGGCACCGCGCGCCTCGAACGCTAAAACAGACGACCTTTCAATCGCGAGCATTTTAACTTCCTGCTTGACGGATTCCCACATATCAAAAATGTCCCCTTCCTGTCCCTGAACACACGATTTGAAAATGTTATCTACCCCCCCAAGGAAAGAACTATCGCTAAGAAGCTTGGTATTAAGTTTCCAAAGTTTCCAATCAAAGCGCGCCCTTGGCAGTGCTCTTCCACCAACCGTTGTCGACACTAAGCAGTGATCGAAAAAAAAAACCAATGGCATCACCCGATACTTCGTTAGAATAGTTGCTAGTGTCGCCGAAACGTAAATTCTGTCTAGCCGCGCATGCGATGACGCCTGGAAATGTGTGAAACGCATCTCGGAGGTTTCATTCCGCACAGTTCCAGCGTCTATCAAGTCGAAGTCTTCGAGCAGATTGTTGAGAACGGTAATGTCTCTATCGGTGCGTTGCCTGATAGGCGCTCTATCAATTGCTCGAACAACACAGTTAAAATCACCACACGGCATGACTGTTCTATCACAATCTACAAATCGGCCTAAGCCAGAAAAAAGGGAAACACGCTCTCTCACCGTACTGGGGGCGTATATGCAGATAAGCCGGCAGGGGACTGTCGAAAAAACAAAATCGCAGGTAATAAACCGTCCCTCCGTGTCGGTTGTAACCGCCAACTCCGACAAGGGCAACGACTTCTTTAAATATAAAAAACAACCGCCCGAGACCCCTACCGCGGGAGTGACACACACCTCATACGAGTGTAAAAAAGGCTGTACTGCGCTAAAAACCTGCTCCTCCTCGGCCATCTTGGTTTCCTGCAACGCTAAGAAATCGGGTCTCTGTGTCTGCATTAGGCGCTGCACCTGGTATTGCTTCTTACGTTTAGTGTTGCAACCGAAATGGCCGAATTGAGCGTACAAATCATGAAGGCTATGATGCAGCGCTTGTCTTGTTGTTCTTCCACCAGTTCTGGAAACCAGGCGTTGCCGCCTTACTCGGAGTCGCAGCGTTGCCGGTCGTCCGGAGGTGCGTTCAGCACCACCTTGAAACGGCCCCGCTTGTTCTTCTCGAACCCCAAACAAGGGTTAGGGTTGAGCGTCGTGTCGGCTTTCGGGGGCGTATCCTCAAGGCCGCGCTTAGTTGAGTCGGTGGTTTCGTCCATGTCGTCGTGGCGCTTGGAGGTCGTTTCGGTCGTCGAAGGACGGGCCGTGGGGGTCTTGGAGCCCTCAGGGGATGTCGGGGCAGAGGCCCGGGGACCGGAAGCAGGCTCCAGAACGTGAGGGGCTGACTTGTCTCTTTTTGTCCCCAGGGCGCCCTCCCCGGAACCGTCATCTCCGGCAGGCTTCCCTTGTTGCTCTGTAGACGGTGTGGTGTCGAACCCCAAACCACGCGCGGCTCTCTCGGCCTCTTCAGTGTCCATCGTGAAAGCCGCATGCTCGTCCAGCGCCTGTACCTCGGTGACGCCAGCGTACGTCTTCATACACTCATCTTTATCGTGGCCGAAGCGAAAGCACTGTGAGCACTTTGGTACACGACACTCCCGTCTGATATGCCCGGCACGCTTGCATCGCAGGCATATGGGCACTCTGCCTGGTATGACAATGAGGGTGTTCGCGCCGTGAAGCCGCAGCTGGTGAGGCATGTCGTCAGGGGTGAGGCCACTCTTCAGCGTCATGCGAACAAAACGCGTCGTTGATTCTATTCCTTGGAACCCCTCGACTCGCCAAATCTCCCGGCCGACTTCAATCACCTTGCCGTACGGTTCTAAAAGGCTACGCACGGCGTCGTCCTGAACGTGAAAAGGAATCCAGTGCAAACGCACACGTACAGTGCTAATCACACTTGTCTATAACGCGCGAGCGTGCGGCTTTCTCCGGGGAGCGCTAGACTGGTGGCATTCGCGGAAAGTAAGCTTGTTACGTGGCGCAACATGGAACGGCCCGCTGGAGGGGTGTCCTGCCCACTCTATCAGCTGGCGGCGAACGCGGAGGGCGGCTTGCACGCTTTTTACAAACGTCATTGCTCGAACAATAAACAAACTGAAGCATTAAGGCGTATCAACGATGTCGTCATCAACAAACAAAAATATATCATAAAGCACTTTACCTTTATCGCTTATCAAGCTGATAGAGTGGGCAGGACACCCCTCGAGCGGGCCGTTCCATGTTGCACCACGTGACTAGCTTACTTTCCGCGAATGCCACCAGTCTAGCGCTCCCCGGAGAAAGCTGCACGCTCGCGCGTTATAGACAAGTGTGATTAGCACTGTACCTCGGTTGTGCTTGGGTCGATGATGACGGAGCGTAGTTTTTTCACGACGAGCTCCTTGCTGCTCACCAGGCGTTCCTTGGCCTCTGAAGTCCGAAGCGTCGCTAGCCACACATGGTTCATCTGAAAAGCGCCGAGCGCTATACAATGTCCCTCAAGACGGCAATACGTTTGAGTTCCTCTCGGAAATCCTCAATCCGGTACGGGCGACCCTTAAGGCCACGGTCCCACTGAATGTGGCAGTTTAGGTACTTTTTGGCAGGTCATTACTCATCTCCCTTTAAATACTGTTTTGTGGGATTGATGTCATTCGAAAGGCAATGCAATCTTCTTTCATTTGATATTGTGTATGTGTTGGTTTTTACTGTTCATGCGCATTTGTAGCGTTGCGAATATGATGGCGCGGACCCTCACTTGCTTCGCTAGTTCATGTTTTATGAACGATCCATTAAAGATAACGCGGTTCTAATATCGCAGTTTTGTTAAGATGATGTCGGAGCAGAATGTAACGATACACTTTTTTGGTATTTGCACTACTTTGTTTTTTTCATCCCTCTAAATATTGCCCTAAAATTGACAATTTTCAGCACAAATATGTTTTTAATGACAAGCGCTAGGGCAATGAAATTAGCTACAAATGTAGTGCTTATAATTGGTAATATGCAGAAAAAAAATTTAATGTTGCGTAATATTTTTTGTTTTTTAGATATTTTATATCAAATGTAGCACTTTTCTGTGCTTCGAGTCATGGTACTTCAAATGCCGCTGAGGAAATAATTAAACTATAATAAAATCTTTTATAACATTTAGAGCTACAATGGTTGCCCAAGAAGTGGACGGTGGCTTTTTTTCATTTTCAAAGTTATAACGCTCCAGGAGCGTTTCAAACTTACCTGTTTTGACGCATATCTTTTTTGGACATCAAACAGATTTATTGGCATCTAATAATATTTATTGTTTGGTATATATATACATTGCGATGTATTAAATTTTCACAATCATCTTGCTTTGGTTTCTTAATAGGTGTGGAGCTTAGCTAATTTTAAAAACAATTAAAACTGTTTGGGTGTTTCGTTGCGCTACCTGGCGGATGGCAGACAAACTGCTGATTTCTAATGTTCAAAAAATTTCCGAGGGTGGCGTTGGCGTCTGTATCATCATCAATATCCGTGTCTTTTTACCCCCACATTTAAAAAATATATTGGAAGATTTACTATCGATAACTGAATGTTTTAGGTATTGGGTCAGGCTAATAAATCTTAGACAAATAATTACACAAGCGTTGAGTGATATAATGTGTTCATTATTCGCTATGATTGAAATCAATAAACAATGAAGACGAAGAGGAAAAGAATACAGCCGAGTTCACTTTATGCCTAGAGTCACTAAATGAGCTTTAAAGTATCGGCACTCCGTTCCCCAAAATTGTTTTGGGCGCCGCCATTTTGGGTCTTGCTTAGAGCAAACGCAACTGCCGACCATCGTGATCCAAAAGTACGACTTCCTCAGCATTAGATGCGGTGCTAGGAAGCTGATGCAATATTGCAATGCTCTGTTGCGGGTTGTTTAAACATTTGTGAGGGATGGAAAAGCGTTTTCTGTGATTTTAGATAAAGCTCCGAATAACTGGCAACCATGATTTTAAGCCACAATATGGCCAAGCGTGTCGTTACTCAGAACTGTAGCTAATTTACTAGCACAAGCGGGAACAATGAAGAAGAGGCAGGCGTCAAAAGGTAGTGGCTTGTGGAATCCACGGGGCTTACGTCATGGCCCCTCCAGGTATTACAAGCCTCTTGAACAAGAGCATGAATAGTGTCATCAAATAAGATACGCTTCAGAGTAGCGACACTTGGCCTTACTGTGGCTTAAAATCATGGTTGCCAGCAGTGTTGGAAGTAACGCGTTACTAGTAACGACGTTACTGGTAACGCGTTACATTTTTCGCTAACGCAGTAACGTACTCGTTAGTATTCTGAATGACTAACGAGTAAAGTATTTCCGTTACTTTTTTACGGTATCGGCTGTCTAATTTCGTTACTCGTTATTCGTTACTTTTGACCAAAACTGGTGAAATCCTGCACCAGCTTTTCGCTGCACGAAACCAGCATCCGTCACAGTAAAAAAAAAAAAAAAAAAAAAAAAAAAAGAACTCACTTTTTGAAGGAGAAAAAAAACCTTCGGCTACCAGCTAATTCCGTTCATCCTCCATTTTTTTTTTCATAGTGTCACCACCCAGAAGGCTTGAACGAACGACTGCGTTACAGCCTCCTTCCTCCCTCCACTCCCCTGCTTAGTGCAGGAGAAGTGGACAGCGGGGGGGGGGGGGGGGGGGGGGGGGGGGGGGGGGGAGTCGTGGAGAGACATTCGTTTCAACAGTGGATAGCTATGCTTAGTTTCAGCTTTGGTCCGAGCGTAGCCGATGTTATGAGCCGAAGGGCGAATCAAACAGAGAAAAAGGCACAACGTCATGGCGTGCACTCTGCCGCTGATAGGACTAGCCGGTATTCACCGTCTCTCTGTGCGTACTCCTCCACCGGCTAGTCCTATCAAGCGCAGAGAGCACGCCATGACGTTGCACTTTTTGCGCTGTTTGATTGGCCCTTCGGCTCATAACATTGGCCGCGCTCGGACCTAAGGTGAAACGAAGTATAGTGGCGAAGCGATTTGCTCATTTCTCTAGTTCCAAAAAAAAAAGAAACATCCTTTGTGGAATATTTTTACCCTCGCTCTCCCCCTCGCTGCCTGAAAGTTCCTGACCCACTTTTGTACACAAAAGAATGTTTCGACTGATTAGTCTTTAATTCCCTAAGGTCATGATAAAAAAAAAATTTTAAAAAAGTTTTAAAGCTGGAAAGACGACTTACAAACACGAAACCTTTTTTTTTTTTCGACTCCTGTTCCAGATTGTGAAGTAAATCAGTCTCTGGTAATAGTATGAACCGGACAGTTACTAAAACCGGCGTACAAATGAGGGGTGTTGGTTGGCTGGTTGTGTTCCAGCAGTCCTCGTTCGCATGCTGTAGTTTATAAAAGCCGATTGACTAACATATCTCCTACTCATTCTGCGCGTGAGATGGGCATGAATAACGAAAGTCCGTCGCCATGGCCAGCAGGTCTGAATAAAATGTATCAACTAAAGGAGACAGAATCAGCTAATTTACAGTTTCAATGCCTAATCTGCAACGCCGAAAATTAAGCAGCTTCGCTTATCAAAACACTTTGAAACCACTCTGTAAATTTGTATCTTTATCCAAGCTTGTTAAAGAGGCTTATCATACATCTCTGCCAAACATATGTACTCGAACAGAAAAGTAACGTAAAAGTAACGTTCGTTATTTTTTAAAAGTAACGGTAACGGTATATCATTACGTTTGTAAAAGAGTAACGTAGCTCGATAACGCGTTACTTTTTACCAAACGAACGAGTAACGCTATTTCGTTACTTTTTTTCGGTAACGGGCACAACACTGGTTGCCAGTTATTTGAAGCTTTATCTGAAATCACAAGAAACGCTTTTCCGTCCTCCACTTTAAACAGTTTGCGACAAAGCAAAGCAACATTACATGAGCTTCCTAACACCGAATCTAATGCTGAGGATGTCGCACTTTTGAATCATGACGATCGGCAGTTGCGTCTGCTCTGCACAAGCACCAAAATGGCGGCGTTCACAACACTCTCGGGGAAGAGAGTGCCGATACTCTAAGCGAAGCTCATTTATTGACTCTAGTTCCCGCGAAACTCCTTTTCCCTGACTGAAAGTGAAAGTAAATATGAATAATACACCATTATTATAGCTTATTTAGTTACGTATAATGAGAAGAGGAAGCGGGCGGATAGGAGAAACGCGGGTTTTATGTGCGACCGTTCTAGCCGTCTCAAAAGAGAAAACGCACGAACTTGCGCTGGTTAAAAAAAAAAAAAAAGGCATCCAAAGAAAAGAGGCGGCACGCTGTGTTCTTTGTTATTATGCGTCTAATTGCAAATTGTTGTGTGTATGTTTATACAGCCCGAAGTTAATCTGCCTTATTGGGCGTCTGGTGTCTCATCTGTGGGTGAGCAATTTAGCCAGTGCGGTACAACCGCAAACCTGGGCCCGTTTGCTCGAAGCACTAACCGCGGCTAAAGTTAGCCGCAGTACCTAGGAGAGGGATTTTGAGATCACGTGACTGGCTCGGTAGGGATGCGGGGAAACATGGCGGTGCCCCAGTGAGTGAGCGCCGCTCGCTTTGGAACTAATATGTCGTTGTGGTTGCAATATCGGGCGCGTTAGTCAGCAACGAATGGAGCAGGAGGCTTTCGCTTTGCCTTACCTCACTTAAACCGCAAAGCATGGAGTATGAGGCGAAAAATAAGAAAAAGGAGCCTGGTGCGAAAGGTCCAAATCACCACCATAGTTTCTACTATCAAATACAAGGGCAGTTGCACAATACACAGA